TGGACGATGACTAGTTGACCGACATGTACATTCGGCTGCGATTGTGTTCATTTAGCGCGTTGCTGAAGTGAATGCACGTAGTCCCGTTCCCACAAAGACCAGAACTGTTGCTTTAAATAAGCTACCTTCAGCCATCTATTCAAATAACTCATTTTCTTCTCGCTGTTGTCAGAGTTGCTGTACAGTGTTTCTTCTGGCGCTGGCGTCAGCGTTGAACCTATTAAGAAGTGAGCTGGCGTTACAGCTTCAGCATCATTAGGGTCGTCTGTCATTGGTGCAATCGGTCGTGAATTGAGGATTGCTTCCACTTCGATGAAAAATGTTTGAAGCTCCTCAAACGTCAGATGTGCGTTCGCAATATTTTTGAGCACAATGGTTTTCGTGGATTTCACGGCAGCCTCCCAAAGGCCGCCAAAGTGTGGTGCCCTTGGGGGTATAAAACAAAATTCGAAGTTTTTATGAGCGCTAAATGATTTTAAATTGTTGATTGTGTTTTCGCTGAGTAGTTGACTTTACAAATTGGCCAATTTTGAGGCAGCACCAACAAAGTTTGTGGCATTGTCGCAAAAAATTTTTTCAGGAACACCACGTCGAGAGAAAAATCTGCGCAGGCAGAGCTCAAACGCATTGGTGGACAATTCGCTCACCAACTCGATATGAATTGCCTTTGAGGCAAAGCACACAAAAATATCCGCATAGGTTTTATACGGTGGTTTACCTCTAATACGGTATGACGTGAAAAAGGGGCCGCAAAAATCAACTCCAGTAATTTTGAATGGTCGCTCGCCGCGCAGGCGATCTGCCGGAAGATTGCCCATTATTTGCTGTACTAGGCGTGGCTTGTAATGAAAGCAGTGGACACATTGACGGACGACTTTTCTAATTACCTCTCTTGCGTTAACAACCCACAATCGTTGACGCAAAATTGACAAGAGTACTTTCGGTCCAGCGTGTAAATTTGTTCGGTGCAGGTGCTCAATGTAAAGCCAAGTGAATCTATTGCCTTTAGGGACTAAAGCTGGAAATTTAGCATCGAATGGCAATTCTGAGTTAGCTAACCGACCACCTACTCTCATCACACATACTGTAGTATTGCGTAACTTCATTTCGTGCAAAAACGGAGCAAGGCGTTGCAAGCTGGATTGTAAAGATTTGTTTTCCTACAATGCGCTCATTTCAATTGAGTATGAAGATCGCTGAATTTGCGCAATGATTTTCCAAAATGTGTCGTTTAACTCCGCTGCAGGTAGATGCACGACGTCTGTCGCTAACAACGTGTTGTCTGGTCGAACACCATTGAAACACCGATATACATATGTCAATATGCGAAGTATTCGCATGTACGATGAACAGTCACTTATAAGAGACTCTATGATTGATTTAGCGCTGTTTGTATTTCTGCTAATTAACACTGTCTTGGCTCGTACCTCAATTGGTGCTGGCAATGGCTCGTGAAGTTGTGGCCATTCATCGTCAGATTTTGCTAGGAAGTGTGGGCCCGTGAACCACATGTTAGTGACCAAGTCTGTTGATCGGCATCCACGTGAGATGATATCTGCCGGGTTCTTTGATGACGGAACGTGTCTCCAAGCAATATTAGCGCTGTGCTCTTGAAGTTCCGACACCCTATTCGCTACAAAGCAATGAAGTTTAGACGCGTGCATTTTCATCCACTGCAGCACAATTTTGGAGTCCGTCCAGAAATGTACAGTATTGATGTAAGAATCTAATTTATACGAGAATTTGCGCCAAGTTCGGCTTAATAGCACAGCAGCACAAAGTTCAAGTTTGGGCAATGAAAGTACGCGAGTTGGTGCTACCTTTGACTTCGCGACGAGTAAGCTGACCTTAACGCCAGTTGCTAATTTGGCGCGGACGTATAGGCAGCATCCATATGCTCTCTCAGAGGCGTCTGCGAAGCCATGTATGTCGCATATGTAATTTTTCGATGTGAAGACATAGCGTGGGACTTCGATCTTCGCTAAGGCTCGCAAGTCTTCCGTTAAAGCCTTCCATGTGGTGCTAGAGTGTTCATCAATCGGCGTGTCCCAATTGAGTCCTTTTAGAATCAGATCTTGCATAAAGATCTTACATCGAATTATAATAGGGCTGATTAAGCCTAGAATATCGAAAATTCGGGCAACAACAGAAAGTATTGAGCGTCTTGTACACGGTTCATTGATTTCAACGTGGTAGCTGAATACAAAATTATCACGATTTGGTTGCCATGCGATACCTAATGCCTTTGTAACCTCATGGTCACTCAATTCAATAAACACTTCGTTTTCGGATGTGGGAGTAATCTCTCTACAATTGCTACTAAATTTGGTGAGCTGCAGTCCGGCCTTCCGCAGCAATTTAACTAGTTCATTCTTTTTGTATTGCAATTCTTCTATTTGTTCAGCTCCCGTCAAGAGATCATCCACATAGAGATCATTGCGTAGCGTGTTAGCTCCAATGGGAAATTCGTCTTGATGCAAATCAGCGATATGATGAAGTGCTCTAATTGCAAGGAAGGGTGCAGCCGACATTCCGTACGTCACAGTATTTAACGTGTATGTTTCAATTGGGCTGGTTGGCGCAGATCGCCACAATATTAATTGAAACAGTCTATCTTGCTCGCTGACGACGAATTGGCGATACATCTTGGCTATATCGCCCGTGAGAGCAAACCTATTCAAACGAAACGAAAGAAGCGTTATAATTAAGTCTTGTTGAATGGTTGGCCCCACCATAAGCAATTCGTTTAATGACTGTCCTGATGTTGTGTTCGCAGAGGCGTCAAAGACAACGCGAAGTTTTGTTGTTAAACTCTGCGGTCGCAAAATGCAATGATGAGGTATGTAAAAGTGAGGTTTCATTAAGTTGACATTTTGTGCGAGTGACATATGACCCAGTGAGATATACTCGTTCATGAACTCGGAGTATAGATTCTTGAGTTGTTCATCCCGGCCAAATCTTCTCTCGAGCATTTTGAAACGTTTGCTCGCGTTGTCAAATGAGTTGCCAAGAGCATTTGGCATTGTTTTAAAAGGAAGCCTTACTTGTAGACGGCCGTCCTTCTGCACTCTTACTGTGTTGACGAAATGTTCTTCGCACATTTGTTCTTCGTCAGTAAATTTTGCTGGTTTAGTGATACAGTCTTCAACTTCCCAAAATTTTTTAACAAGTTGTTCAAGACTGCTAGCTTCTTGAACTACATTACACTGCTGCGCCTTACTGATATCAACACTCCCAATACTTCCGCCAACAATCCACCCGTACGCAGAGTTAAGCAAGCAGGGCATATTTGGACCCAGGTTGTATTTACCTTCTCGCATTGCCTCCACTTTGGTAGATAAATAAAATTGTGGATCAGCAAGAGTTATTCCAGGAGGTAAGCACCATTCTGAGGTGTCAATTCTTGAGGTTGGTTTGCGCAAATCTTTTTTATTACCGAAAATGTAGAAGACCACTCAAACTCTGAGCAGCGAGACCTTAACGTTGCAAATACGTTATGACTAATCTTTTGGCGTATACCTGCGATACCGCTCACTTCTTGTTGTACGCGACGCTTTTCAAGCTGCAACAGTTTTGCTGTTTCCTCTGTAATGAAACTAATTTCAGAACATGAATCTAATAATGCGCGAACTAAGTGTAGTTGACCAAATTTGTCTCTAATTTGGACTATTGCAGTTGGCGCTTGATTGGGGCATAGCCTTATTCGAGTCTTGGACCTTTGATGGAGCGGTAGAAACGGGCATTCGTAAATTGGCACCTTGCGTAAAATTGTGTAGAAGTGTGTGATGAACTGATTGACAAATTTTGCATCTAGATTTTGATTGGCATTCTTTCATGCAGTGCGTCTTTCGTAGACAGTTGAAGCATATGCCAGCCTTGCGTACATAATCGATCCGTTGCTGCAAGGATAACTCCTTGAATTTATTGCAGCTGCTGATATAGTGCGACGGTGAGTTGCAATACACACAGTTCGCATTAGTGGTCACAAACGTCTTTGAAGTTGATGCCTGTTTAACCTTGGGCTTTGCGCCACGCTGATCTGACTGATGATCGCCTTGGCTCTCAAGATATTGACATCGACGGTTTAGAGTGTTGCAACAATCCTCCCATGAGGACAGTTTATCGAAACCTTGCTGCTTGTTGTACTTCGCTTTGGTTTGGGCGTCGACCTTCGAAAGCAGTATGTGTATCATTATGTTGTTCATGATTTCTTCGGCCGACCCTATGGAAAGAAGAGATCCACGTATAGCGGATGCATTATCGACGAGTTTCTGTAGCGTCGTCGCCTCGGGTTGTGTCATCGTTGGTAACGCAAAAAGACTTGAAATGCAATCTAAAAAGATGAGTACGTCGTTGTCGTATCGAGCGTCCAATCGTTCCAACGCCTTGGAGTAGTTATCTTCTGTTATCTGAAAGGACTGCACAACTTCTAGTGCGGGTCCAGACAAACAGTTCATTAAATAATTGAATTTATCTATTGTCGCAATGTATGGGTCATTGTGTATTAAGTTTGCAAACGTGCTTTTGAACCTTTTGAAGGTTGCATACTTGCCGTCAAAGCTTGGCAGCTTCAACTTAGGCAAACGGTTATGGTGTGCAGCTCCAGCAGTCATAGTAGTATTTATAAAGGAGCTTTCTGCCATGGATGGTGCACTAGGACGACGCTTTGCTTGTAATAAAGCCATGATTTTCACCTTTGCGACGATAAACAATTCTTCTTGTGATGCTCGTGCAGTGTCGGTGCTTTGCAAATTCTCAATCTGCGTTTGAATTTGGCATAATTGACGATAGTGCGAATCTAAAATTTGAAGTCTGCATTCGAGTACTCTTGCGTCCTCCTTATCACCATCAGAATTTATCTTGTCGTGGAGATTAGTTATATGGCGCTCGAATACATTTCGTTGCGTTCTGAGTAGAACTAGTTTTGCTTCTACTTTTGAGTGATCGTTGCCTGCACTGGCATGCGTAACCTCATCTTCCTCGCCCATAGTTAATAAATGTTCAACAAACGAAATTACTAACTCTGTTAATTCGCTCCAGTTAAGCAACAACGGTGCGTAACGCAAGGCAAGACAAGAGAAGCGTTGACAAAGGTGCGAGAGTAAAAAATGCCGTTGATAATACAGATGTACGTATATATAAGCATATACTCACAAGTAAATAGACGAATTGACTATAATGTAAATGGTATGCAAATTTGTGGTATGTGTATACTTATACTTGCAATGTTATGTACTCAGTAGTGTGCACATAAATTTTCATTAGCACATGCTCCACCTATATACATATGTGACAGTACGGTACCTATGTATATGGTTGCTGGGACCCTTTGACCTTCACTTGCTCCAACGATTCCAGGCTTGGTTGCTGATGTTGAAGTGGTGTGAAAAAAATGATGTCTCGATTGGTGTGAGTTGGCGCAACTAATCCAATCGAACCTTTGCGATATTGCGGTGCACAGGTGTGTCCAGTTACGGTCGCCACTAAATGTTGCTCGACAACAAGTTAATTTGTGTGAATATGATTTTTACGGCTAGCGTACAATAAAAAAAAATCCTCAGCTGACATTCCGTCTTCGATCAATACCTTTTGCGAAGTGAAGTCCAAGGCAAAAAGCACAATATATTCTCAGTACACTTAAACCAATTTTACATATGTACATACAAAGTTTGGAGAGCAAGACTAAGGTTACCAGATTGTAAATAATACCAAATATACAATTTAATTGTAATTCAATTGAAATTCATAATAGATAAAAGTATACATAATGCCGCTAATGTTCTCCTCCAACACCCATATTGATTGATATCAAAATGTAGCTTCTATCCAAAGCGCTACGATTAATGTGCATAGAGGGTTCAATCGTAACTATGGTAACAGTGAAATAATGATTTCATTTCATATTGAGGAAGAGCATTGGGTGCCTCCTCTCATTCCGGTACACTCTACGTAAATTTAACTCCGCACACAAATAGATACTAAAATGCTTGGATATTTCTCCATATGAGGAGATATACTGGTTCTGGATTCGAAGATCCCTGCCCTATACCTTTCAGATTTTTCGAGCCCTCCCTGAGGACAAAGTAGAGGACTTCGCAGGAGCAATAACACCGGCTGAATTCCAACACAAGATCACTCTAGCTAAGAAGTTTTGGCTGGGACTGAGTAGAAATTTCAGAAGTAAAGTATTCCGTCGTTGTACAAAAACCGCCGTCTATAAGCCATAATTCCGGACAGTACTGGTATACGAGTATAACGCAGAAGAAAGACCACGCAGTGAATTAAAATACAGCGACATGCAGTGCGAATGGGCACAAACGCTACAGTTCTGAAAGTATTCAATGCGGACTCCGCTAGTGATAGCAGAGTAAGAGCAAATACGATAGAAAAAACAGGACATAGCATTCGGTCTTCGGCTGCCAATAAAATACCTCTGAGCGTATTTCTAAATAACTCAAAACCTTTCGGAGGGAGGCTAAAATGGTCCACGTCTAAACAAAATATTGAGCGTCAAATATTGACATTCATCGATACTGATATGTAGTTACCTATCGATATTCTAAACGATACAATATTTCCATATGTACCCTGCCAAAATTTGAGGACCAGAGGCTGAATTCTGTAACTGTGAGGAAATGTAGTTTACACCGAGTGCAAAACTCACCGAACAAAATTACAAACTCACAGTTACAGAATCCAGCAACAGGTGGTCTACTGGGACATGGTTTTTAACTATATGCAAAAGGGCCAGTGCATAGTCTGCAGGTATGTACATTAGGGTGATCGGATCTCATAGAGGAGGAATAAAATGTCGGAATTTTGTGTTATAAAGTATTGTACACATGTACATATGTATATTTGTAAGCATGCACCTAATGTACATAAAGTTTTCGATAATTTAGCTTTTGGAAAATGCAGTGTCATTTCCATTGTCAGACGGGTGATGACATTGGTTAATGCAAGCAGCAAAAAAAACAGTTAAAATAAACTTTAAACCTACGTACAAACAACACATGCATACAAATTATATTAACGGCAACAACAAAAACTCGGACGATTGTACACAAATGAAAATGCAATTTCAGCGCTAAAAAGACTAACCTACACTTAGCATTGACAATGACATAGGTTACAGACAGAACTGCAATATGACATTCAAGTATACCTATGTATGTATGTTTGTATGTGCATAGTTACAGACACTAGACGAAAAATCGGACATACCCGATTGTAAATAACCAAATTTCAGAGTCACTGTCAGTTTCTTGGACAACCAGCAAACTTGTTTATGTATATACTCCTATGTATGTCCGTACATTAGGATGGTCCAGATATGAATATGAAAAAAGTAAAATCGGAATTTTAATGCTCTCAGAACTGTGTTTTTATTCTGAGATCAAAAAATAATTAAGGGATCGCCCAAAGCGCTCAAAGTTTACTATAAGAAAAAATTTTTTGTAGAATAGGTATAGAATTCTTGAAAATCAGTACTTCAAATAATAACATCCAGCTTCTTTACCATATTTTAATACCAACGATTTTGGTTAGGTAAAGTGCCAGACTTTTACAAAAAAAAGTATATATATTAAATAAAAAAAAAATAAAAATAGCCAAAACTGGTCAAAATGTCACTTGACTTAATCAGCTGACCACAAGTGTACATAAGTCATCAAAGAATGAAAGCGCATAGAATCGCTTGCAACAGAGACACTTGAAAAAATAAAGCTTAAGCTTTTTTTTATTTGTTTGTGATGAGATTATTCAACGAGTGGACGTTATGAGCCATTAGTACAATATTTGAAGGTTTTCTAAGCAATTGTTGGAAGAACTCATTAGCAGCATAGTGTAAATCAAATAATACTCATAATGATGGTGAATATTTATTGTACATACAAGTATTTGAAAGTCAGTTGAACATAAGTTTATTTATAAACTGTGCTTGAGTGGTTACAAAAGGTTTGTAATTAGGTCAAAGTCAGTGTGTTCTATGACTTTGGTTTTTTAAATGTGGGAAAATGAGGTGTCGTGCTCATGCTTTACCGCATTGAAGTTAAATGCAATTAAAACTTTTCAGAGATTTCTTAGATTTTGTAAACTTTTCGGACTAGGTGGTCAAGTGGCTATGATATTTGAAAAATTGTTGTTTTTATATAAATACTAACTTTTTTTTGAGATACCTAAAAAACACAGCGGACACTTAACACATTTTTACTAAGAGCTGTATCGAGCTTCTGCTTTAAATTGTGGTATGTACCTTGATGTTGCCACAAAAATAGAGGGACCATATAGCGCCGCCTCCGAACTGCAAATGGTTTCTTAGTCCTGATTTGACGCTCACTGTGATATAGACTTCAGAGTGCAAAAACCTTAACTAATATACTGCCCCAAAACTTGCAACGTAACCCCAGTTGGAAATGATAAGGTGGGTAGGCAAAGCCTTAAATGCTATTTGGATAGGGGAGGGGCGGTGAAATAACACAAATGGCAATAACGCAAAATTTTCTTTGTTTCACTTTTAAATGGGAATAATAGCAACATCTGAGTTTTGCTTTATTTCCAACAAGGGTTGGAAATTTTACCTTATTTCCCATTGCTTATATATACTATTTGTAACAAAAACAGTTTACTGACCAGAAGGAAAAAGAAATTTGTTTATTCCAAAAATACAATTAAACAAAATATGTGATATAATTCATATGAAGAAAGTAATATTCACATAATATTTTTACTTATGAAAAGTCTAAAAAGTATGTAATGGTCGCATACACATGTTCATATCTGAAGTACAAACTATGATTTTTTTCCTGTGTTTGCTTCTAAGTTAGGTTAGGGCAGCCCCAGAAGTAAGAGCTTGACTTAGAAAATTAAGAGTTTGTCCTTTGGGATACCACATTCTGAAAAGCACCGACTACTTAATCGAGAAAACGTCTCGAGCCGATTATGTAATTCCGAACTCGACTAGTCTCAATGCCCCAGAGCTCCTCAGGGATATTTAGGATGTGCGAGACAAAGTATCTTAACATTTTACAATTGACGCTGGTAGACATTGCCGCACTCTGGCGGAGATGTTGTCTTCGTGGTGTCTGTTTTACCTTTATTTCATTTTCTAGTTATGATGGCAAATCACCATGGCCGCACACAACAGACGCCACTACGCACATTTCGCATGAAAAATCTTTCGCATAGGTGCTGTGTTTTGGCCACTAAGATCGTGCGATTTGACCCCGTTAGACTGTGGGGTTTGCTAAAGTTGCAGGTTAATTCCAATAAGCCGCGATAGACCGATACCCGTACAGCTAATATCCGGGTCTATATGGCAGATTGAACCCGTGGCGGGAAGTTTGCCGATGCTATATTTCATTCATAATGGCCTTATGGAGCTTTCACAAATACAATGATTTTCGTTGATACCCTTTAATTGGAAAACCCTTCAGTTTAGTATCTATACTTTGCTTAAACTTAAAGCAGATCTTCTCATGTCATCCCGAGCAAATATCTACAAACAGGTGTGCGCAGTTACCTACGGACGTAAAAACTGCGAACGTGTCAGCTGACACGATCTATCTTATGGGATCTGCGTGATAACAAAAACTCACCACCGCATGATCGTGACCTAGACGTTGCTTCGCTCTATTTCTGTCAACAGCACACTTGATATCTTTCTACGTACTTCTACGCTACGCTACGTACACGTTCGTGGGTAATTGCGCTCTTAATGTGCTCACCAATTTTTCACCTTATATGTAAATAAGTATTTGAAACAACTTACGTTTAATTTCTCTGTGTACGCTTACCGTTATCAAAGACGCATCCTCGAGCACATCTGATTTGAGATTTCGGCCGCCGCCAGCCAAATTCGCATTACTCGCCAATAGCACCGAGTTTAGTAGATTCTTAAAACTCAACGATGTGTAACTGAATGGGGAGAGTATAGTGAAGGCCTCCGCGGTGCCGACCAGCAGCTGTAGTGTAATCAATAAGACCAACG